AGGAGGAGGAGGAGGAGGAGGAGGAGGAGGAAGAAGAAGAAGAAGAAGAAGAAGAAGAAGAAGAAGAAGAAGAAGAAGAAGAAGAAGAAAGCACTGTAGTTTAAACACAATCATTTTTAGAGCAAACAAGGGAAGCCCCTTTTGGCAAACCCAGAATGCAATTTCATACCATCTGACCTCCCCCCAAAACCCCCAATCAGACACATATTCATATCCTAGAACTCTGTGGAACAGCAATGGACTGTGGACTGAGATCCAGCATCCTGCTCTCTTATGGGCTGAGTGTCTCTAACTAGAGTCAGGGCTTACTCACACTGAAATAGACTTTAATACCCTCTTGAAAATCTGCTCTTCTCAACAACCAAACTGGCAATGAATATACCAATATTCCAACAAAACAGCCTTTGTTAACACTAGCAAAACCAAATATTTCCTTGTTTGTGACAAACTGATCCACTATTAAAAATGCTTAGTTTTTCTGAAATGTATTTAAATATAAATATGATCTGGAGACAATTATAAATTTAGAACCATGAATGAAACCAGTGATAGTCCCAAACTCGGTCACCCCTGGAACAGGACTTCTCTCAGGCAGAGAGCCTGGGTCCTGCTCCCCCTTTCCTCTTCATGTCTGCATTGTCTCCTTCCAGCACCTAATTCAGAGTCCAGTGGGTGAGGACAGGACACTGAGCACCAAGTCAGACTGCAGTGGAAACAGCACTAATGAACTTAGTCCTTGGTCCACTGTTTTCTTCCTTGATGTCTGCCTGGTCCATTCTCACCATGGCAACCTCTCCTGACATGAAACACCATCCTTATCCTAAGATCAACCACATAATAATGCATCATATTTCCAGAGCTATGAGAAAGTATAACCAACTCTAATGGTGACATTAGAATTCCTTCTATTTATCTATTAGGGAAATTAAAGCCTGCATGTTCCCATGATTTTACCTTTTGGGGAGGGGAAAGAAAGTGACATTTCAAATTACAATAAAATAGATAAAGCATGATCATGAAATACTTGTAAATTCAGAATGCCCCTTACACCTCTACTCACTCTATTTTTTTAACTTTTCAATTCTATTCCTCTCTTAATGGTTTCAATAACCAAAGCAGGAGTCTATTTCTTATATTACCAATGATTATGTTGAACAAAGGAAACACAAAATTCAAAAACGTTCATGTTTGAGAGAATGCACTGCAGTGTGTGGAGAAACTGAGGCAGTGTGAACATAAGAATTAAGATGACGTTAACAGTGAGTTTGAGTACAAACAGCTGAGGGTCACCCTCTCCACCACTGCTGGATGAAAATAGCCCTGGAGCTGGATAGGGTGTCTGCACTGTCCAATCCCATTGTTGTCTTTCCAGTCTAAGACAGAAGGCCCCTCAGAGGGCCTCTGAGACTCATTTCATAGGGTAAGGACTATCTTCAATTACGTAGACATTGTCTTCAGCTCGGGACTGCACATCCGCTGTGTTTTGCAAAGATTCATTTGAGGATGCATGGAATGTTACCAAGCTGCAGAGGGAGAGATGTTGAAGAAAGAACAAGAGGTCACCTTTCATGTCTGAGCAGAACTTTCATTTATGATGTGAGCTCAGGACTCCAGGAGCCCCATTCACAAAACCTGTTAACAGTGATCAGCACCAAACAGGGCCCTTCTATTAAGTCATAGAAAAGTTTGTTTAACAGGCATCAGAGAAACTAAAAATTATTTTTACAACAGTAGTTCATATTGGAATCCTTCAGACACTAATGTAATAAAACACAAATTGAGAGGCCTAGCTAGATAAATATATACTCATCAAATAGAGGTACCTAAGCAGGATGTGCATTTGGGAACTGGACTAAAAACTGGACGACTTGTGCATTTACTTTGCACTGTGACACTCTAGAAAGTATTAGGGAGCCTGTGACCTGAGTAAGATCCCCAGCACCCACAGAAAAGGCAGAAGGAAAGAGCCAGCTTCACAGTGCTGTCCTCTGACCTCCACAGGTACCTCAACACTTCACTAACACACACACACACACACACACACACACACACACACACAGACACACACACGCACATGTACACACACACACAAATCATGTAAACAATAGTACAAAGAAGTTTTTATTTAAAAAGAAAGGGTCTTGAAAACTGCACAGCATCTTCATCCTCTAATATTAAGCATGGAGTAGAAAAACACTTAAACAATAGAGCAGTGTCTTTTCACTGTAGCTGGTGGTCTGTGGCACAATTTCAAAGATTACTGTATGACAAACATTCTCAGATGTCACAAGCACACAAACATCAGGAACTGGACTGAATGGAATTTAAGGAGAGCACTGCAGGTGTTCACAGCTGGCCCATCCCAACAGCTGTGGGAGGGGTGTCACTTGCAGAGCTCATCCTGTGCCCCTGTTAATCAGGATAGGCACAGTGGACTGACATTTGAGCTTCATGGAGGGGCAAACCAGAGAAGAAAGCAAAGGATCTCTGGGATGATGTTTTAATATAGTGGAGTTTATCATTTGTACACAGAGGCCATTTCTACTACTGAAATGCAGAACCAAAATGACCATCTCCACTCGGCCACATAAGGAACATCCCTGTTCTGAGAATTACACAGAACAAGAGAGATCCAGCTCGACTCTGCCAGGGACAGTCACACATGTAGGGAAACAGTGTAGGGTCAGGACACTCATGAGTCAGTGTGATATAACTGACAGAGAAAGTCATGAGAAAATGTCCAGAGTGTGTCATGCAGTGGTTAGTTTGGTTTTGTGGTTTTTTCTTGCTTTTTCTTGATTTATATATACTTATTTATTTGTTTGTCCAATTCATTCATTGATTTCTTCATTCATTCATTCATTTGGTTTTGTCAGGGTCTCACTATGTTGATTGGCTATCCTGTAAATTCCTAAACAGACTATACTGGCCTGGATTCATAGAGATCCACCCGCCTCTGCCTGCTGAGTTGGAATTAATGATGTGAGCCAGAACACCTGGTGTTGTTTACTTATTTTTTAGACAGTGTTTCTATAAGTCAGGGCTGAACATTAACTTACAGTACTCCTGAATTAACTAATTGAGTGTTGAGATAACAGGCGTGTGCCACCTCACTCAACTTCTCTCCCTCTTCTTTCTGTGTTGTGTTTTCTCCAATGTTTTCTTTTATATTAAGTGATTAAAAAGTAACTTTGGGGACTGAAGAGATGACTCAGCAGTTAAGCATGGTCCTTGCACAAACAGGAGAACCAGAGTTCAGATGCAGGCCCCCAGGTGACAGGTAGAATATTGCCTGCATCCCTGTAACCCAGCACTGAGGGAGACAGAGGCAGGAGGATCACTGGGGCTTTCTGACCTTGCAAAGCAAACAATGTGAACTGCAGGTCCAAGGGAGACTCCGCCTCAAAGGACAAAGTGAGGGATGGAGAAGGACACTCCCTGTCCTCCTCTGGCCTCCAGGCAGGTGTATTTGAACACTCTCATGCCTGTCCTCTCCATGTCCTGTCCCTGTCCCTGTTTCTGCCCCCACCTCTGCCTATCCCTACCCCTATCTTTCTCTCTCACATGCGAAGATAAAAAATTTAATTAAGAATTTTTTTAAATGCCTTACCAATACAGGAATAAAAAATTATGGACTAAAATGCTGTGATCTTCCAATTCTAAGGAACAGTTGCTTTCCATTTGCAGAAATAATTAGCTTTGTTTATATTATTTTTCCTAGTTAGATTTAAAAGCATGGGATCCTGAGGTTGAGGCCAGTGTAGTCTGACCTCATATTTATGGACTTGTCTGTTTTTTACTTGTAGGATGAGACTAATAGTAGTTCCTACCTTATAGATTTATTACTGTGAAGGGAAGATGTGACAGACTCTTAATAAGAACTAACTGTGTCAGGCACTTCTAAGGACCTGACACTGGACAAGACCCAGTCTATGGCTGGGCTCTTGTGCTTAACACAGACACAGGTAAGTCTATGGAGGCAGCCTGAAGGACATGGGATTAGACTTAATTAAAGACATAGTCCTGTGGACAGCCAATCTTTAGTCAATTGAGGAAAATTAGGTGGCTGTAGAGGAGGGCAGATAACACTGGAGAGAATAAAAGAGCTTCCAAGTGCAGTAACAGGACAAGGGCAGTAAAGAGCCTGTGAGGCAGACACCAGTGCAGTGAGCGGAGGGGACTGGTGTGGAGTGTGGAGACACTGGCCAGACTACAGTCCCATTACAGTACCGGCAGCCTCAGAAATGATCTTCCTCTAAAGCCTCTGCTCCCTTGGGCTTCCTGGAACAGCCACCTAACCTTGTCATCCCCAACATGTTTGCCTAAAAGCACCTAAAAGGACCTGTCTACTAGCTTTTATGCTTTGTGATACACTTCATCAGTTTTTTAATAGAATAGGAACTCAGTGAAAGAAAACACTGAGGAAACAAGAGTGGATCAAGTCAACTCCTTCAACACCAGCTCCAGGAAGCAAAACTTAGAACTCAGCGACTACCTAGAGGAGATGAGGATCAAGGGCCTTTTGTTCCTGTCCTACCGTAAATGCAGGAAATACGGAATGCAGATTATATCTCCGAGAAATTAGGAAACAAGAAAAGGACTTACTAATGTTTTTTTTTTTTTTTTTTGATCCAATGTACAGAATGGTGGTCAAGCATTGTGGAATACACTGTAATCCCCAAACAATAGAGTCTGAAGCAGGAGGATTGTGAGTTCTAGCCTGGCCTAAGCTAAATAGCAGGTCCAGGCCAGCCTGGCCACATATAAGACCATGCCTCACATCAACCAACCAATCAATGAATACAATAGTAAAGAATGATTTAGTAGTAAAAGAGGGCATAGAGAGACATTCTCAAGACTGTTAGTGCAAAAAGAATCAACACAATCCATGCCAGCTTACCTTAAAGACTCTGACTTCTTTTTCATAAAGATATACCCTAAATTGGTGTGGAAGGTGGTGAGAGAAATTGAAAAAAAAATGAACATGTCATCAGAAACACTCATGATATTTTCTCCTAATCAAGGATATTGCATTTGTTTTTGATTGAACAATGCCCTGGTAAATTTGGATAATTCCTTCCTGTACCCCCCAGGAAGGAGATTCTTTCCATTCATTGTCTGGGATATTCATCCACATGGCCTAATTTGATAGAATGAGATTGGTAAATTATTGTTCACTGAGACAAAGAGTCTGGATTCTTTCTAGTGGGCTGCTAGAGAACAAGCCTGTAAGGGAAGGATAAACAACTTTGGACTAAGGAAGGGAACACATTTGTAGATTTTTACTCCCTTACAATGTGATTCTCCCTTTTAGACATGCTCTGATATGTAGCCCAGGCTAGCCACAGACTTGTAAATGCTGGTGTTATAAACACACGGCACTAGATCCACCTTGAATAATGATTTAGGATGAACAGCTTTAAATAATGAAGGGAAACATCTGAAATCTGACCGGCATATTCTTATTCCCCACTTCCTGTGAAACGGGTCAGTGATGGGATCATGCATGGTGTTTTGTAAAGTCCATGGCTGAAGTTCTTACACAGGGAAAGGACTACACAGAGAGAAACACTGTGTGCACATGAACAACTCATGGAGAGGGCCATGTAGGCCTGGGTGCCACCTTCAACTAGTCTGTTCAGCATTAGTCAGGGGGCTTCCCACCAATGTCTCAATTGCCTTTTATACTAAATATGTTCCAGAATATTCAACAGTATCATCATGGGAAACAAGAAAGATCCCATGGGTGGGAAAGGAGAGAACACATCAATGTCTTACAGTGACCTAAAAAATAATCAAGCCTATCCAAAATTTCTTGTGTATGAAATTTATTTTATGGAAAATGTTTCCCTTATGATGGCAACAACTGAGATACAAAGGACAGAGTTGGAAACAAGAGTGCAGGCAAGTACTGCAGCCTATTCCTTCGAGTCCAGTACTTTGTTGTTGGAGGCAGGAGAATCTGGAGTTGACGGTCATCTTCAGCTACCTCATAAGGTCAGTACCAATGTGAACTACAAGAGGCCCAGTTTTATATTTTTGGTTGTGAGCCTAGCCTTTAATGGCTGAGCCATCTCTCCAGTCTTGAAAAAACCAAAAAAAAAAAAAAAAAAAAAAAGAGGCCCAGTTTTACAGAATAGGAATCTTTGGAGACATAGCAGCAATGTTTCAAGATCACTAAACAGAGCACTCACCAAGTACCAGAAATCACCTTCAGAGTTTTGTGGGTCCTAACATATCCCTTGGGGAGTACATGGGCTACCATGTGTGTTTTGGATCTGGGGATATGGAAGCCGTGTGAACTCAAAGCCTCAGTGACATATGCACTTGCTAAAGACCATCAGAGAACCCTGGCTCTCCTTCCCTGTGGACAGTTGTGGAATAACTTACTGGTGACAGCCATGGTGGTCACAAGTAGCAGCAACAGCAGGGCAGCCATGGAGATGCTGATATAGAAGCCATTAGTCATGTTCTGCTGCTTCTGTGAAGGGATCAATTCCTAAGGAAACAATAAATAAAACAATAGTAATAAATAAACACCAGTAAACACAGGGGCAGCAAGTGACAGGAAGAGAAAGCAAGTGCTTGACCTTAACCTAGACTCTAAGTTCTAGAGCTTCCTCTCTCCAGGCCTGTGGCTAGTTTGTAATATGAGGAAGACCCAAGAATCTGAGGTGGTAACCGGCAGTGCAACTCCAAGACAGTGTGAATTCAGTGTCTCTGATGATGATGGAAACATGTTCTATGTTGATTGAGGTTATTACATAGGTGGATATCTCAGTCAAAATTTTAACCTCATGCTTAATGTAGGTTCATACATCATGTATGTGATTATGTCTGCTTTAATAGTTAGTAGGGTATCCTAAATGCATCAAGATATTAAAAGAGAAAAAAAGAGTAGCCCATCTCTAAGTTAACTTGCTCTCAGTGTGCTTAGCTCCTGGTCTGGTCTTCCATCACAGAACCTACTTGTCATGTAAATATCACTCAAGATACCATGTTTTTATAAACTTCTAATACCAAATGGTCAGCATGGAAACATATACACACAAATAACATACAGACTGTGCAGGTTATATTAACATATTTAGGAATACACATATATTAAATATGAATATATATAATATATAACACATATCATATGCAGTTGGTAAGAATATACTAACAATTGTATATTATATGTTAATATATTATATATTATATAATTATAACATATATGTGTTTATATACATATACATATATATATATATATATATATATATATATATATATTAGCAATTAAGGGAACAGAGACCATGAATTAGAAAGAAAACAAGGAGGAGTTATGTGGAAGGATTTGGAGTGGGTTGAGAAAAAAGGAAACAATACAACTATATCTAATAACTTTCTAAAAATAGTAGGAAGACTCTCTTATGGGATGCAGCCTGATTATCACCGTGTGATCAGACAGAAATGCAGAATCTCCCCTAGTGCCCTGGTGCAGGTGATCAGGGATCAGCACATACTGGAATAAACAAGAGACAGGCTGGGCAGCAGGTGAGGCCCCTCTAATAGCTTAGCACTCATCTACCAACCCTAAACAGAGCCTATGGGATGGGTTTAACTTCAAGGAAATGGAGAAATAGAGACCAGGTGTTTGTCCCTGTATGAGCCTTGTCTCTAGAGTCACAATCCGGTTCCTCTGCCTAGTCAGGGAAACCATGGACAAGTTATTTAAGCTCTGTGTGCTCTGTCTCTACATCCTCAAACAACCTGTTCAGTAGTGTTCTGAGGAAAGGGATTCTGTGGAGAACATAGAAGAAAATAAGGTTTGATTATTATTCTAACAGGGTCTCCTGGTCCTAGGCTGGCCTGAATCTCACTATTTGACAATGAACTTGAAGCTATTATCCTTCTTCCTATACTTCCTGAGTGCTTGGACTGTATGTGTGTCTACTTTAACCACGTGAACATTTACTTGATAACATTTTCATGATTATGAATGACAGAAATGCTAATCCTCTCTCATTATTCTTAACAAATTTTGTTCAATTTTTTTTTCATTAAACAGAGTCCAGGTAGTTGATGTATTGGTTCAAGATGTGCGCTACAACTGATAGGCATGGGCGTACACACCTATATCCTAGGACTGAGAAATGGAAGCAAGAGGGTCAGGAGTTCCAGAGCCTACTTGGAACATAGCCCTTTTAAAGCCAATCTGAGTTCAATGGGATTCTGTCTCAAATAAAGAAACACCCTGAAAATAAAGTCATGTGCTGCTGTACATTGTTTTCAATGCATCTAAACGAAGGTTGATAACTTAAGAGTCCTGTTTCTGCTATGACTTATTTTAAATTTAACTCTAAATTATTTCTTCAGGCTGCTAAGAATGACTGTTACTCAGGTAACTGAGGCAAGAACAACCTGGATATTCAGAACCAGGAGTATGCTCCCTTAGCAACATGTGCTTAATGGTTTCTGATATTTAACTAGTATATACAGATTCTTTCCATATCTGCCAAACCACTGGATGCTAATGTCAATTAGGTCATTACATTTTTACTCTGAACCTGGGCATGTGACACAGGCCTATAACCCCAGTACTCAGTAGGCAGGAAGATTGTGAGTTCTAGGCCATCCTGAGGTATGAAATAAGATTATTTCTCAAGGAAGGGGGTCAGTTATGTCCATGCCTATAATTTCAGTTCTTGAAAGACAGAGGCAGAAAGGTCAGGAGTTCAAGGTCATCCTCAGCTATGCAGTGAGTTCAAGGACAGCTGGATTACATTTGTTTTTGAGACAGAGTCTCAAAAAACAAACAAAAAAATTTATTCTCAGCTTTTACTTTTTATGTTCTGACTGTCATTAGGCACAAAAGCCTTAGGTTATTTGGCCCTATGTACATCTAGACCATGTCTTGAGGGTTTTATTGTTGCTGGGTGCTTTGGGGCACTCCAGACCAAGGCTTTGTACATGCTAACAAGTGTTCTATTGTTTCCAATAGCCAAATAATCCTCACAACCACCTATCTGGCTCTTTTCTTACTTCAACCACCATTTCACCTGCACCACTTATACATACTAAAACAAATGTTGCTTCTTTCTTGAGTCAAAAGAGAAAAATCCTATTGATGATTTCCCTCTGCTACTTGTAGGGTAGAACTTTGGCAAGAATCCTGGAAGCAGAGGGCCTTAGATTTTTCTCATGCTGAGTACACAGAAAGTCTAGGGAAAATTATGCAAAATTAATAATGTTTAAGACTTTAATACCTTATGTGGAGGTTTGTGTGTGGAAAACACCAGTGGGCTCTATAGAGAAAGGTCACAAGTGGCCTAATGATCCAGGTTGGCCTCAACCTTCTGATATTTGTATTAACTTCTTGAGTCCTAAGATTAAGGAATATATCACTATATCTGACTTTTTCTTTTCTTCTTCTTCTTCTTCTTCTTTGATGCAAATATCTGTGAACTAATTTTACAGACAAAGTACTTAAATACAAATTGTTTCCCAGAAGACATACAAGTGAACATGGCTAATAAATTGGAGAGGAATATACTTACAGTGTAATTACTGCAAAAGTCATCTGAGGATGTCACAGTGTAATTCCAATCTGCTCCAGAAGAGGGAAAATTAATTATAATTACAAAAATTTAGATCTTATTCTACATCTGTAAATATTACCCACAAGGCCAATGTGTCATAATATGTGAGGGTTAGAATTAAATATGGCAAGACATTCACTGGACAGCAAGATTTGAACATTTATATATTTGAAGTACATTTGAAATGCCTATTTTATAACAAGTGATCTATTGTTTTCATTGTTTCCATGTGTCTATAAATGCAACAGAGAATCCTCCTTTTGCCAATATCTGCCATATATGGGTTGTGACATCCTGACAAGAAGAACCTTAAGTGCATTTTACAGATGAAGCAGTGAATATCAGAGGACTCCATACTTCTAATTTTAGCAAAAGACAGATATCTCAGTTGGCAACATACACACAGTGCCCACATGAGTGAAAATACTAAAGGTCTATGGGAGTCCCCAACCTCTGCTAAAACTGGCATTGCCCAACACAATAAAGATGAATGACTCAGCCAACCTCATTCTCACTTTACTGTGTTTATTTACATTTTACTCTCTGTGATAGCCCTTACCAGGAGCCAAAGACAATAACTAGGTTAAGGCAACATCTACAGTCTGGGCTCTGTTTGTGACTTAAGCCCTTAAGTAAAGCCTTCCAGGAATAGGAGGAAGTGATTCAGTAAGGTAAAGCAGAATCAGACCAAATGTGAATTCAATGCTGCCCATTTTCATTAGCAAAGTGACCTTCATCATCAAGGTCCTGCCCATAAGTACTGAGGAATACATGATTACAATAAACTGATTTTAGATTTAAAAAATCAAGTGGCATTATGTTCACTGAATAAGTAATGGAACAGAAAAAAAAAATAATGGAACTGATTCAAGAGAGTGATTACTTCTGTAAGTCACACAACTGTTAGCCAAGACAAGACCAGGATAGAAAGGCAGGAGTAATCAATGAGCCACAGAAGGGAATCCTGAGGCATGAGGGAAAGAAATGGTTCATTGTTCCTGGATGAACAGGAGGGTGGCTGCATTGCTTATTCTATTGACAAAGTCGAGAACCTTCAGGGAAACACTAATTAAAGACAGAATTTCCTACTGAGGCAATCAATGCTGTTCATAGACATTGCAAACAAAGTTGGCATAAGCAACAAGCAAGTCACATTTGTTGAGGGTCAAATGTTGTAGACACTCGTGTTTTTAGCCTTTTAATCCCATTCTTCAATATAAACAAATATCCCTCTGAAATCTACATTACAATATTGTTTATGGAAGAATATTATTTAACTATAAGTTCGTTGTAAATCTTGGAGCATTGTTTCCAAACCAGCAGCAGCAGGAGGGAAGGGGCACTTCGTAGAACCCTCCAGAGATCCGACTTGAGAGCCACCACATCACATGTATACTCAATGTAAAGAAACCTAAGTGCTCTGCATGGTGAAGTCATACACGTGCCTCAGTGTGCCCTATTCATTTCCTAAGCATCTGTCTTCATAATGACCAGGTGCTTAGGACCTGAGTTAAATATCATCAACCCTCCATCACATTGACTGTCCCTGACATTCTTTTCTTCAAAAAGCCACATAACCTAGTTTGGCCTGAATGGAGGTGTTTATGGGGAAGGGACCAACTGAGGATGCTGTGGGGAGGTGGAATGAAGCTGCGTCTCTGTCCCTGGCACCACTTACAATGTCAGATCTCTGCAGAGGGCACCTGTTCTTCACCAGCTTCATCTAGATCTGGACCTTCCAAGGGGATAAGGGAGGAAGAATTTAGTTACCTGTAAGAGTATAGAATACGGTTTCTGGCCCCTCAGCTGTTGTCTGATGTGGATAAATCGTAGTGGGTTCTGAAATGAGAACAATGCAAGAAATGTTTCAGCTTTGGAGTTTGGCCCCCACCAAGGAAAATAGAACCAAAACTTACTGTCACCTCCCCCAGTGCCTCCCCCAGTCTCAAAGCAGGAACAGCTACTTCCTATACATTTCTGCCTCAGTTGACTCCTCTGAGAAATGTGTCCAAAGATGGCCACAGCCTGAGCAAGTGGTCTGTGTCCTAATATTCTGGACAGCTTTATCAGGATTGAGAACTATTTCACACTTCATTCTAGACTCCTGAACTCCTCTGACACATACAGTCAATATTAACACATGGAGGATCGAACACTCAGTTAAGATTACAATTTATCAAGACAAGGGTCATTTGACCTTCTAGGAGAGGGACCTGGAATTTTCTCACTACCCTCTTCACTCCAGGCCTTAGTCAAGCTCCAGATTATTCACACTTCTTTCCATGGAGATGAGCTCACTGAACAACATGTATTAGACAGACCATTTATCACTGAGTTCTTCTCAAGGTAGCAGGATCACCCTGGGGATGAATCCTACACTTCAGGCTGCCTTGTGTGATGAAATTCCTCTATATCTATATCCATATATCTATCTGTCTATCTATCTGTCTATCTATCTATCTATCTATCTATCTATCTATCTATCTATCATCTATCAACTTATCTATCCCTATCTCTCTTTCTCTCTTGAGGTTAGTCAATTGTTGGTTGAATGACAGACTGAGACAAGGTCTCCTGTCCTCCATCCATTCCTGTACTAACAGCGACTTCCTGTGTTTTCTGACTCATCTTCCATTGCTCACCAAAGGCTTCCACATGGAACACTCGAGTGCAGACTGTGTTTCCCTTTTCTTCTGGAGTCCCTACATTGTTCTCACCCACAGTTCACTTCACCTGCAGAGCTGAGCACTTGCCTCTCTGGAATCCTCTAAATGCTTTCCTTCTCAGAACAAGAGAAGATCCTGGAGTAAGTTGGTTGTGACCAGACAGGAATACCAAAACCTAGGCTTCTCATGGCTCCTCGGGGTCTTTAGGATCCCCTACCTCACTACAACATGATCTTTACATTGAACAACACCCTCCTGTTCTGCACTACTGTCCTGTTTTGTCCTGACACTGAAACATGTAAGAAAATGTGACTGTCCTTCTGAACTAATGATAGGACAATACAAATGCCAGATGGTCACACATTACCCAAATTCAGTTCTTCATAAAAGGCATCATGAGATTAATTTCCTTCCCAAGTCTGGGTCACTTTCTCCTGTTCTTACTACATCACATCCTATATTCCATGAAGAGTATCTGGGGCAACTGGGATGAGATAAGACGTGTATGTGAGGATATGTGTCATTTTTACAGTAGCCAGAGTGTTTGCCTTCTCCCTGGACTGGACAGTCAACCCTCAACTGCAATTCTTTAGGAAACTAACAATAGAAATATAAGATTATACTAAACGCCTCCCGGAGGTCATCTAGGCTCATGGACCAATACTTTTCTAAATCTCAGTTGTAGTTTCCATAAAGTCAATAACCTCTCCATGTTCTTCAAACTCAGCCCATGAACCCATCGCCTAAAGCAGGCAGAAACTAAGTATTGAAAAGTTCTGTTAATCCTGAGAGATCTCACAGTTCTCTAGTGTGTGCATCTGCCTGGAACAGAGGGTTGTTCTCACAAATCCTGTGCTCCACATGTCTAGATATAACCTAGAGGCCTCTGCACACTTGGCATGTAGCCCAGTCCTTCAGGACCCTTATGCTTGAAAGTATTGGAAAGCCAATCAGAGGACAGGTAAAAAAAAATATTACCCATCATATTACCCTAAGAACAACAACAGAAAGCTATGTGGCTTCTGCTTGTCAGAATCCAGCCCTACCTCAGGGGATGGACAGTTTCTAGGAAGCTCAAGAGCCCCTCTGACAGCTATTTTTTCACTCCAAGGTGTACAAGGTTTGAACCCAGACTTGCATTCACGATGACATGCTTCTCCCCATCTGTAAGTTCAGTTCCTATGTAATAATATTAACTTTACCTGGAGGCAATATGAAGTATGTATTACATGGCTTCATCAAAAGCATAAGCATGTTAAATCACTTCCTAAAGCCTTCTAATAGATGTGTGTGTTTTTCCATTCCTACAAAGGACTTACATTGTGTTTTTCATGTTACATGAATAAATTGAGAGATCCTTAAAGTAAACTTTATAAGGCATCCACTGCCTCTTTAAATGGGTGGTATTAGGATGCCTTTCCAGTGAGGATGTGGAAATGCTACAAACCCTCCAAACATCCATGCTCATGACAGAGGTCTGACCCTGGAGTCAGAAGAGGCAGCTTCCAACCCAAGTGAACAGGGACAGAGTCTGAACCACTTTCTGTCTTCATAACTTCCACCATGAGCTTTCTGAGTCTGTCAGTTCCTGTCACTATAAAATATGAACAGTGTTTGAGAATTAAGCATTGCATCATAAAGCATATAGCATACTGCCTGATGCTCATGAAATGTTAAATGTTAGCTTCCCTGAACTGTGGCCTCAGCTGGATGGCCCAGTTTCAGAATGGATGTAAAGGGTCAAGAGTCTCCCTACCCTGACCCTAGTTCTCAGTCATTCCTTAGTTTTTTATCAGAAAGTCATGTCCAGCTGGACCAGATTCCCATCATCCACATCAGATATCCTAGATCAATGATCCATCTAAGTCTGGCTCATAGTGTGTAGTGATACATTGTGTCCTCCCCCCCAATATATTGTGCACCTTAATAAACAAGCCACATTGGGAAACAGAGCCAGGTATGGTGACACACACCTTTAATCCCAGCACTAAACCATAGAGGTCTGGAGTTCTGTACAGACAGACAGGAACTGATGTAGCTGGGTAAAAAGAGGAAGTGAGATGCAGAACAGAGAGGCATATAGGCATGGGTACATAGGAAGTAGGTCTCTTTCGCTGAGGATTATCAAGTGGTAACAACATGACTGGCTTTTTTCTGATCTCTCAGATAAGCTTTATTAGGGTGCACAATATATTGGGGGACACAATATATTACCACAGTAGTGAATCCCTAAGAATCTGATATGGAGAGACAGGTATCCTCCATCTATAAGCTCTTGGACAGCAGAGAGTGAATGCAACTTAAGACTGGGAAATTACAGACTTTGTGAAGCTGTTGTTGGCCCAGCTAACAACTCTTCACCTATATTATGCTTCTGACTTGACTCAGCGTCTATGTCCTACCGACTCTCATGAGAGGGACTCTGGGTCCTGAACTACATTGGGTTGTACCTGGTGTGTGAGACTGTGTGTGTGCTGGAGGAGTAGAGGTGGAGACTCGGGGTAATCTGGGTACATGGGTCAATCTTGTTGCAATAGTTGTGGGACTTCCTCTAGTTGTGGGTCTTCCTGTAGCTGTGGGTCTTGCTGTAGTTGTGGGTTTTGTTGTAGTTGTGGGTTTTGTTGTAGTTGTGGGTCTTGTAGTTTTGGGTCTTGTAGTTGTGGGTCTAGTTGTAGTTGTGGGTCTTGTAGTTGTGGGTCTTGTTGTAGTTGTGGGTCTAGTTGTAGTTGTGGGTCTTGTAGTTTTGGGTCTTGTAGTTGTGGGTCTAGTTGTAGCTGTGGGTCTAGTTGTAGTTGTAGGTCTTGTTGTAGTTGTAGGTCTTGTTGTAGTTGTGGGTCTTGTTGTAGTTGTGGGTCTTGTTGTGGGTCTAGTTGTACTTGTGGGTCTTGTTGTAGTTGTAGGTCTTGTAGTTGTGGGTCTTGTTGTGGTTGTGGGTCTTGTTGTAGTTGTGGGTCTTCTTGTAGTTGTGGGTCTTCTTGTAGTTGTGGGAATTGCTGGATTTGAAAATCAAGATGAAATAAGGATCAGTCAACAAGAAGAGACAACAATTTCTGCTATGACACCAGTGAGAAGCTGAACCCTGAGAGGCTCCTCTCCTGAACTTCTGTTCTTTGTCACTGACTAGCTGCACTGACAGCATGGAGCTGAGCACAGAGCCCATGTTCCTAAGGACACACTGTATAAATGACAGGTGTCAGGTCCTCGGATCTCTAAGCATCTCTGTGAGACTGAGAGGGTGTGGAAACTGGGACTGCTCTCAGTGGTGACTGACTTCCCCACAGCTTCCATGCCCAGCACGGTCACTTCAGTCAGTCCTGAGAGGACACAATGTACAGCTCTGCATTTTAGCATGCAGATCCCACACAAGCTGCAATGCAAACGGGATTTGCACCTTGGTGTAGAGAGCAGACGTTGTCTTCTATGGTTTCTTCCAACCTAAGAGAGACAAGGTCAATATCCCTTATCCAAAATGTTTCTTTTTCAGAATTTGAATGTTTCTTAACAATTTGGAATATTTGCATATAGAAAATATCTTACGGGTCAGGCTCAAGTATAAACATGGATTGATGTAGCATTCATTTGCCTGCACTTTACATATAAAGCTTTAAAGAAATTATAAACTTTTGATAATTCTGCACATGATAATTTCATGGCGTTGGATTTTCCAAATGTATTATCAAGTCTGTGCTTAAAAGTTTCCCGATTTTGAATTTGCAAAGGCTAGGTATTTTTTTTAGATTAACCAGATTCAACCTGCAAATCACAAATCAATAGCATCCAAAGTACTGTAAGCATCCAAGCATCTACTGGTTGACTCAGTGTGCAGAGTTCCTAGACAGGAGCTAAGGCAGAGTGGCGCTGAAACTTAGCAGTCAGCCAGGCACTCAGTGTGACAGCAGACATATGTTCCCTGTGAGGTGGTATGCAAACCCACCGCATACACATCATCACACACAGCCACACAATAATAAATGTAGTTTTAAAAATCAAATTCAACATAAAAATAAGTAAATGGATGAATGAATAACAGAGTTTATAAGTTGAGAGGTTAAAGAATAATGTTCTTAATTGAAAAATATGGAGACAGGGCAGCCATAAGTATGCTCAGGCTACAGAAGAGGCTTGCCTCTAGTGTCCTCTGCTGTGGTAAAAAAGAAGATCTGGTTGGACCCCAGAGAGACCAATGAAATCGCCAATGCCAACTCCAGTCAGCAGATGTGAGAGCTGATCAAGGATGGGCTGATCATCCGGAAGCCTGTGACTGTCCATTCCCGGGCTCGATATCAGAAAAACACTTTTGCTCAACAGAAGGGCAGGCATATAGGCATAGGGGAGCAGAAGGGTACTGCCAACGTTCAAATGCCTGAGAAAGTGACCTGGATGAGAAGGATGTGGATCCTGCGCCAACTTCTCAGGAGATACCATGAATCCAAGAAGACTGATCACCATATGTATCACAGCCTGTATCTGAAGGTTAAGGGGAATGTCTTAAAAAAACAAGTGGATTCTCATGGAACATATTCACAAGCTGAAGTAAGACAAGGCCCACAAGAAGCTCCTGGCTGACCAGGCTGAGGCTTGCAGATCTAAGACCAAGGAAGCCCAAAAGTGCCAGGAGGAGCATCTCCAGGCCAAGAAGGAGGAGATCATCAAGACTCTGTCCAAGGAGTAAGGGACCAAGAAATAAAGCTTCCCTCATGTCTGTACATAGTGGGATGCCTGTGGCCTCAGGTGAATCAGTCATTAAAATAAAACAAGCCTTAAAAATATGGAAGCAGATTATGTCTATTAAATCTACCTTCATTTCTGATGTCTGTGCAAACCCTTAAGTAAAAAGAGATTAGGAACAGCATCAGAAGCCAGGAAGTCCTCATGAGCCTACTCTTCTAGTCAATGCAAAAAAAATCAGGATATCTGACTCAAGAAGGAAAATGTAAAGCCTGGTGCTTGTGGAACACTCCTTTAATGCCAGCACTCTGGAGGCAGAGGCAGAAGGATCTCTCTGAGTTCAAGGCTGGCCTAGTCTAAGACCAAGGTCCAAGATAGCCAGAGCCACAAAGACAAAAAACAAAAAACAAAAGAAAAGGAAAGGAAGAAAGGAAGGAAAGAAGGAAGGAAGGGAGGGAAGGAGGAAGAAGTGGAGGGAGGGAGAGAGAGAGAGAGAGAGACAGAGAGAGAGAGAGAGAAAGAAAGAAAGAAAGAAAGAGAGTGCAATGAGTCCAGATTTGTGGATTCCATGAACTTCATACTGTTAAAATACCGGTTTACACCTGTAGACAAAAATCCCCAGATCCCACAGTCTGAATTGGTCAAGCCCCACCTCCCTGCTGCTCCCTGACAAGGTTAAGAAGCTGTCTGCTATCTGCCCTAATAGCAGCCTCCAATTTATGGACCTAACCAATATCTGGCTGTTGGATACTCTCTGTCATTTATGCTATGGTAAACTAAATCACATGATAGGAAACTTGTTCCTGAATGAAAAAAAGAAATAAAAGGAAGATGGAGAAGATGATTTATTGGAGATATGAGGGTGAAAACAGACAGAGGCATCCAAAAGGGTCCAGAGTGAACTTGACCTGCAAACTGAACTCCCCATGTGAGAGGAGGGGAAAGCTAGGAGCCAAGAGTGGGGGCCAAGAGGTCAAGAACCCAAAAGGGCCTGTCTAGCAAAATGACTGGGTTACATAGGGAAGAGCAGCTGGGGGAGGGGCAGCCCAGCCCAGTTCCTGGGCTGGAGAATTTAGGGAGGGGGCAGAGTGTGCCAGATACTGGCCTTGCTGAGAGAATGGCAGACAAGTGTCTACTTTGACATGATAATAAACACCTTAGTTAGCCTTCATCCTGAGATCTAGCAGCTAACACCTTCACCACTAAAAAATATAACAAGTCAGAATTTCTCCTTGCTCTGGGGACCAGCCTGAGACTCCTCAGGGGGAATGCTGAGAGGATTATTCTGCAGGCTGCTCTCTGAAGAGGATCCTCTGTAGACCTGCCATTCCAGACATAGCAGCTATCTCTCTCTCTCTTTAGTCCTCCCTCTCTCTCTCTCTTATACACACACAATCCTGCTATTAATGAAACTCCTCTCTGGGTTGTAAAGAGAAACTCCTCATTCCCTGAGAGCCTCTTCACACCCCATCAAGGGATGAACCTCTTAGACGGTATTGTTTCTGTCTAATGCTCTCCCTCCAAGCTGGAAGTCTGAGCTCAGCCTGAGGCCTCCTCATTCTAATAAGGCACATTGGAGGGAATTGTGTGCCAGTGTCATCTATGGACTAGCCGGTGCTGCTCGTCTGTTAGTACACTGCTGAGTGACAGTGAACAGGTGCTGGAGGGAACCTTCTTCTGTGTGGACATTTCCAGTGTGACAAGATGTGAGACCTATTTCAAAGGCCCAAGGCAGGGCAGATAGGCAGCAGAACTCTCCACCTATGATGAGGCCTGTGCTCAGCAAGGTCAGCTGACCATTGTTGAAATCAGCTCACAGAGCAGCAGACCCCTGCCTGTCTGCTTTTCAGGTTAGAGCTGGAGTGGCTTTACAGTGTTGAGGATGGGGATTCAACATCCTCAGATAGACCCACAGAAAGGAGACAATTCTTAAAGTCACATGCTTCCAGCTTAGATAAAGCTCTTCACTGTGTTTCAGGATGGAGAGTGGAGGCAGTTTCATGGACCAACAAGACTGTCCCAAGTACACTTAGGACCTGGATCCTGACTTAGCTCATGGCCTTGAATTAAGAATGATCTTAGGGCCGGGCGTTGGTGGCGCACGCCTTTAATCCCAGCACTCGGGAGGCAGAGCCAGGCGGATCTCTGTGAGTTCGAGGCCAGCCTGGGCTACCAAGTGAGCTCCAGGAAAGGCGCAAAGCTACACAGAGAAACCCTGTCTCGAAAAACCAAAAAAAAAAAAAAAAAAAGAATGATCTTAGGACTTCATCTAAGCAAATAAAGTCATCCTGTGCCTCAAAAGAGTATCTAAGGCTGTGTTTGATGGCACCTGCCTGTATTCTCAACACTGGAGTTAGAGACAGGAGGATCAGGAGAGCATGGTCATCAGAGGACAGAGATATAGGAGATTATGTCTTTAAACAACTCAAAAGCAAGTGTTTAATCAAACATATTTCTAAGAATTTTCTGTTTCCATGTTCTAGGAAAACAACAAATTATTAGCAAACAGAGGACTCAGTTTACTTGCAAGAAATAAACAAAGGGAAGAAAAAAAGCTTACCTGGTTTAACTTCCAAGGAAAAGGTCGATATCTGATCATTGAACCATCCAGGAATCTTCACTCGACAGCAATACACACCACTGTCACTCTGAACAGCATTCTCTATTGTCAAGGACACGACTCCTCCTGAAATATGCCCCTTTAGCTGGTATCGGCTGCTCTTCCGATAGGTGACATGGTATCCATTGGTCTCGATAATTATGTTTACACAATTAAAAGCTGAGCATGATCCTCGACCCCAACAAGTGACAGTGATTCCTCGGTATGTTGAGTAAGTACATGGCAGTGTGACAGGGTGACCCACCACCCCCTTCACTGCTATGTGAGAACTCACAGCACCTGTGATGGAAAAAAGGGGGGAGGGGAAGAAATGTGGAATTAGTACCCAGCATTTGCCTAAAATATTGTTGCTTTTGTTGTTGTATTTCAGAAGAATATGGGGAGGGGGACTTAAGTGGAAGCCCAGCTGCAGCCCTTCTTTATTTACTGTTTTGTTTGTGTGTTTTCTTATTTTGGTTTGGAGTTTTTTGTGGGGAAGGCATGAAAGGGAGCAGACAACTTAATATTCGTTGTTATCATTTGGTTTTCTGAGCCAGGGTCTCACTTTGTAGCCTTGGCTGACCTGGAACTTGCTGCATAAACCAGGCTGACTTTAAACTCCCAGAGCTCAGCTGCCTCTACCTCTCCAAACCTAATATTAAATGTCCAGTTTTACAGCTTGGATTTGAAGACTGTAAACAGTTTTCCCTTAGCATATTCTTTCTCAGTGTGATTATTTAATAGATACATTAGTGAATAAGAGAACTCATTCTGTGGTAGGATATTCACACAGATACTTTTCATTTCTTTTTTCTTCTTCAGTGTGTGTATTTCTTTTGGACACAGGGTCTTGCTATATGCCTCATATTGGCTTAAAATGGCATTCCTTCCATTTCTGCCTCCTGAGTACTGGGTAATTAGCAAGGGCCACTGAGACAGCTCAAATGTTTCATTTTTAAACATTTAAAACTTTATTTCAGAAGCTGGGCCCATAAGTAACGCTTGTAAACTTAGAACTCTCTTGTAAATCCAGAACTCACTTGTAAACCCAGAACTCAGTTGTATACCAAGAACTCACTTGTATACCCAGAATTCATTAGTAAACCCAGAATTTAGGAGGTTGAGGGAAGAAGACAGGCCTAGGATTTGGAGGCCCTGTCTCAAACCATCCTTCCTTCTCCTCCCCCACAGTGCTGTGACAACAAAATCACTAACTCTTCCCACCTCTCCTAATCAAAGAGCAGAGCCAGGGCTTTGGAAAAGCATTGTTGGCTTCAAGGCAGAACCTTAGTAACTTCAAAGTCACTCTTCAGAAAGGGTTTTAGAAAAACACCAGGAGGGGCTGAGCTTTACTCTAAACTTTATGATTAGCACTTTACGAACAAAAAACAAAATGTAAAACCAACAAAATGATGCTAAGCAGAAGTCTTTTCTTATAAGTTGTTGACATTCCAGAACTTGAGCAAGACCCACTAGCAAAGTAAGACCACATAGTCAGAAAAATATGTAACTTATAACTTAATGATGCTATTTAAAACTAAAATAATTAAATATAAATATTTTGTGGATGATGAAATAAATTTTTTAATTCCAACAGCTTCCACAGTGGCCTTTAAAGGAACTCTGAGGGCTGAGGATGGAGCTGCATGAGACAGTGCTTGGCTAGCCCATGCTAGCTCCTGTATTAGATCCCAGCAAAGGACACAAACAAATAAACAAACAAAAGCAAAAACAATGTACTGTGAGATTCCCTAACCAATCACCTATATGCAGGACTAGGCTGTGAGGTTGGGACATGATCGAGAAAGCACATTAATAATTACATAAAATGAGTATATTTCTCTCTGGGATACTCATTTCTTGATTTTGCCAAATACCTTTTTTAGGATCACAAATAAAACACATGCTATTTTAATAAAGTCACAGAAATATATTTCTCACCAGTGATCTCAACTTTTAGGAGCATCTCAGACCTAGAGGCAGGAAAAATCAAAAGTTTGAGGTGATCCTCAGCTAGCTATGAAAGTCGGGGGCCAGCCTGGACTAACTTAGACCCTGTCTCTAAGATAATTTTGTTATTCCTTCTTTTACCGTGATTGGATGGCTCTGGTTCTTTTTTTTTTTTTTTTTGTTAACAGTTGATTAACATATACATGCACATGCACTCACCCTTACTTGTCCATCACATGAATACATGTGTTCTCACCCCTTACCTGACGTGTTCTTGGGGATCATGTTTATTTAGCCATAAGTTTTGAAATTCATACAGGTTAAGAAAGTTCTTTGGAGCTACAATTTATCCTGGTTCTCTGCTCACGACATAAGCCATAATCGAAAAGGCCCAAGGATTGTCAATCTCTTATGCCAGCTCTAGCCTCTTCAGCCTCCCCCAGCTCACCTACTCACTTACCTGGGATAAGCAGTATGAGGCCTGAAATGAAGACTTGAGGATGCATCATGGTGTTGACCTGCAGGACAACAAGAAGACACTGGTTAGCTGTGGCACTCAGCACACTGTGTCAGGGCATGGCTTCACTCTGACTATGAATTACACAGGCCTCTCTGCTAGGGACCCCTGTCCTCTCAAACACCCTCTTCTTTCCCAGTCCTTCCTCACATACAGCCATCAATCTCACTTCTGGTCATGACATATAAAGGCAGCAAACAGAAAACTGAAGGCAGAGACATGAGTATGTTCTCTTGGTAGAAGTCTAAACATACACCAGTCTTCTAATGGCAAAGATGCACTTGCCTCCTGGTGGACACAGAGCTGTTTCTGCCCAGTAGATACAGTGGCTAGTCCCAGAATCTCAACCACCTTAATCACTAGCAAGATGTCCTGAGCCAGAATAATGCTACACATGGTATCTGAGACCACATCTTCCTGGGGGATGTCTAGAAATATCTAGAAAAGCACAGGGTAGATCAAAACCTTCAATTCACAGAGCTCTTCCATGCCTAGATTTCCTCATACATAAAATAGCAAAGATGTTTGCTCAGCTATTTGGAGAATCTGCTATGAAGGAGACAATGGGCTGTTTACCCACAGGCAGCAAATCCTCATGGAACCCCTAAGGCAGCTCCTTTTAAGTACATTTATGATGGATGTTACCTGCCTTCAGATTCCAACATCTGGATTTCAATATTTGTTTTTAAATTGCTAAACCATATAAACATGAGTAAGCCTGCCTAGAACTTCATTAACTCTACTTCTAGTCAGAAGAATCTACGACTTCCTCTCAGAGAGGAAAGTGTGCCCTGTTACCAGTCTTAAAGATAGCAATGGCTTTCATGAAGCCTCCATGGCTCAGCATCTTCAGGCCTGGGCCCTGCACTATTCACACGAACAGCCCCTGTACTGAGAAGACATCAGAAATCTAATGCTGCCACTCTAGTGAAGCAATGACTTTCATGGACATTCTGAAAATCTTACTTCTTTATTTTTTATTTTTATTTTTATTTTTTTAAAATTATTATTATTATTAATTTTTTTTTTGGTTTTTTGAGACAGGGTTTCTCTGTGTAGCTTTGCGCCTTTCCTGGAACTCGCTTTGGAGACCAGGATGGCCTCGAACTCACAGAGATCCACCTGGCTCTGTCTCCCAAGTGCTGGGATTAAAGGCGTGTGCCACCACCACCTGGCTTACTTCTTTATTATAAGACAACTTCAGAACATACAAAACCAACACAAGACACAACTATTTTACATTTTGACAAATAGTTGGTAGAACATGGTACCAACCATTCTGTCCCTTTAGAGTTCTACTGAGAAAGGATCCTGTACTTGGGCATTCACTGTCTCACACAGTTGGCTCCCTTCTTGACACATACTCACTGTCACTCAGCCATCTCACAGGGTGTCCTATGGCCTACTTGCTCATAAAATGAAGGAACAGACAATAATGGCTAATAACTTTCTAGGTCCCCAAAGGAAACCTTCTCCACATTCTGGAATCCAAATGAGTAACTAGGTGAGGTCTACCATGGAGTAAACACCTTGCTGGTGGGTTGAAATCCTTTTATATTCTGTCTCTACTTGATACTTGAGAAGAATATTTGAGTCCTTCTCAACTACTAAAGTTTGAGCTATAGTTCCCTGTAGAATCCACACTGTGAAGATCCTGCTAGGAGACTGTGGAGGGATGGAATGTTGAAGTTCAAGAGCCCAAAATAGTATTATGTCTCTGTGGTCCCCTCAGTAGCCATATACTGCCAGCCTCTGCATCTAGGCTAAATTCCTTAAGACAATCAGGAACAACTTCTGGAAGTACTGTTACATTTTCACACAGCTTTCCACCAACCCTGTAGCTAAGAATTATAGAACATCAGAAATCTATATAAGAGATTTTTGTGTTCGGTTGTATCCTATCTGCCCAATGTTTCCACCAGGATACTTGGTAAATGACTTCCTTTTGTTCTGGAATTACAAACATTTGTGTAGCTTCTACCACAGTGGAACATGATATTCATGATAAAATAACCTACACTGTGTTCCCGAGCATTGGTCACTCCAATTTAGATCACAATAATCCCGAATTTTCTTTGAAATAAGAGCAGAATTTTTCTAACTTTTAAACGTTTAATTTAAATATTTTTTGTGTCAGGCAGTGCATGAGCATACACCAGGGGACACATGTGGTCAGAGGACAACTATGGGTAGTTGGTCCTCTCCTTCTATAATGCTCGTTCTGAGCATTGAACTCAGGTCTTCAGGATTGGTGACAAGCACCTTTATCTACTGAGGCATCTCATGGGCTCAAGGACTACATTTTGTACAGGCAAAAGATAGTAGAAAAAAATATTAGTGTGGTTCACACAGAATTAAACATGCCTTGTTCATTTGAAAGGCAAAATCTTTAATACTAGTTTTACTGTGACCTAGGATCAGGCCAAATCCCAATGTCCATAAGAAGGATTTTTGAAAGATTTTTATTTCAATGCAGTTATAATTAATAAACTAAGGATGGAGGAGTATAGTTCAGCACAATAAGGATGTACAATACCCAGAATTGTGCAAGCAACTTACACAGGTATGTGAGCAACTAACAAATAAATTTGCAAACAATGAGACAGATGGTAAATGTGTAATCAGACCATGTCATGTCCCTCTGACAACCCCACCTCAGCTCTCTCAAGGAGCAGGGAGCCAATTCCTTAGCCAGTGTTTTTACAAAGTCCCTTCCTAGGGCTCAGATTTGCTTTCCTGACTCCTGTTCTATAGTCATTGGTTTTTCTTTCCAATTCATCACAAGGATCTGTCCAGGTGGTGTTCTGTCTTGGCTCCTGTTCCTTAACCCCACAGACAGTTTTCACTTTGTCTCCTTTCTTACTGATCGCTGCTTAAAAGTCTGTTTTGGAATATTATTTTACGGTGTGTTACCTTTGTTTATGCTGTGGAACATTTATTTAACAATGTAAAGATGTGTTGCTTTTATTTATTTAATTTATTTATTTATTTTGATGTATTTGTTTAACTCTGTAAAGCTGTGATTCTTTGCCTGTCTAAAACACCTGATTCTCTAATAAAGAGCTGAATCACCGATTATAAGGCAGGAGAAAGGATAGGTGGGACTGGCAGGCAGAAAGAATTAATAGGAGGAGAAATCTGAAGGGGAGAGAAGGAGCAAGAAAGGGACGAGAGGAGGATGCTGGGGGCCAGCCACCTAGCCACCCAGCCACCCAGCCAGCCACAAAGTAAGACTGAAATTAAGATACACAGAAGTAAGAAAAGAAAAAAGCCCAGAGACAAACCGTAGACAGATTAATTTAAGAAAAGCTGGCTAGAAATAAGCCAAGCTAAGGCCTAGCATTTATATTTAAGAATAAGCCTCCCTGTGTGATTTATTTAGGAGCTAGGCCCCCCAAAAGGGTAAAAGAGTATAAAAGAACAATCAACAGAAAAGGTCTACTACTCTTGCAGAGGACCTGAGTATGACTCCCAGTGCCAACCTCAGAATGTCACAGACACTCTTATCTCCAGCTCCAGAGAGTCCGACAGTTAAGAAGGCTTCTTTATTCACATGCACATATCCATACAGTCACACACATATGCACATAATTTAAAATAATAATTATAAATCAGAAAGGTAGATAAAACTACAAGAAAGTCATGTTTACTATAGTAAACACTACTAGAATACTAAAGTTTTACTGATAACACATTTATTGCATAACTATATTATATATGATTCTATGAAGTTTCTATGTATCAGTGAATCAAACCTCCTGATCTCATGAAGCTTGTATTTATGTAGAAAAGTAACATGTTAAGAAAAACATTAAAAAATTTAATTCAGCGGGTAGCTCAGAAGGTTAAGGAGTTCACCCTTAGTCACACAGGAGGAGGACTGCAGACAGACAGCAGTCTTAACCATCTTCCTCTTGGATGAACAAGTGAACCAAGGGGAAAGACACAGACAGCAGACAGCAAGCTGTGGGAGCTTTAGTATAGGATGGAGGGGGGGGGGTGGATGCAATTTTAACTTGGTTTGCCAGGCTACATGGACTTTCTAATGCTTTTCCTGAGAAGGTGGGATGTGAGCAAAGCTGAAGAAGATGAGGCCAACCAGAGAGCAATGTCAAAGAACAAGAAAGAGGGAGGGCAAAGGTCCAGATGCAGGAGAGTGCCTGTGGTGGGGGGATGCAGCGCAGGGCAGCCTGGACAGTGAGGGACAGCAATTCTGAAGAACAGGGGTTGGGAGGAAGGGGACAGAGCTCAGGAATCACTTAGTGAGGACTGTTCTTTGTACAAGGAAATACAGAGTCATTGCTGGGGTGTGGAGGTGCCAGGACCTGGTGCCCTTTGATGACTATGTGACTGCTAGGATGACAGGCAAAGACACCACAGTGCAGGGGTTCTCAAACGCTGGGTCACAACTTTTTTTGGGTCAATAAACCTTTTCACAAGGGTTGCATATTAGATATCCTGCACATCAGATCTTTACATTATGATCCATACCAGTAGCAAAATTACAGATATGAAGTAGCAACCAAATAATTTGGTGATTGGGATCACCACAACCAGAGGGACTGTATTAAAGGGTCACAGCATTAAAAAGGTTGAGAACCACTGCATCAGTGTCTGCTGCAGGAATTCAGTGTGGAAGAGATAACAGAGGGCAACATGATCAATGAACTTAGCACAGTTTGCTCTGCCTTCTGAACTCACCAAGGAGAGCTTTGCTTTCATTGATCACATTGTCTTTTGTTGAATGGCAGAAACCTGAACTAGGTATTTTAGGGAATGTCTGTGCTGAGGAGAATGCCTTTTCTGAGACTTTTGTGTGCTGAGGCAGAGCACTGGGGCCTCCTGGGCATGGCTTTCCTTCAAAGGGGCAACAGAGGCCCACACACAGGCAGAATCAGCTCAAGCAGCAAGAGCATAAAGACAAGGAGAGCCTGAAAGTCAAGGTCAAACAGTGGCAAAGACACCATCAATGATCCCAGGTCAGCGCTGCAA